AAGTCGGCCTTCTGTGGTGGCAATTCATCGAAGGCAACTTCGGGTATCAACGGTTCCGGCACCAAGACTCAAGAGAGGCTCGGTGTAAAGGATTCTAATGAGCTCTTCGAGTTCGACTGTATGAAGGGTGGCTCCAAGAGCCCAGAGCTCATTAACACTATGGTTGAGCATTCTGGTCCTTCTGTTAACTGGCTTATGGATGTCTTCGGTCTCGATCTTTCTCTTCTATCTCGTCTGGGCGGTCACTCTGTAGAGCGTACTCATCGTGGTAAGGAGCGTTTCCCTGGTATGACCATTACGTATGCTGAGATGCAGATGGCTGAGGCTATTGCCAAGGCACATCCAGATAAGTGCCAGATTATCAACAAGGCGAGAGCTACTGAGCTCGAAACTGATAATGAAGGCAATGTTATCGGTGTCAAGTACGAGAAGGATGGTAAATCCTATGTTGTTGATGGCCCTGTTATCCTCGCAACTGGTGGATACGGTGCCGATTTCACTAAAGGTGGTCTCTTGGCTAAGTACCGTCCTGACTTGCTCAAGTTGTCTACTACTAACGGAGAGCATTGCACTGGTGATGGCATCAAGATGGGTGTTGCAGCCAATGCTGATGTCGTTGATCTCGAGTGGGTACAGGTTCATCCTACCGGTCTCGTGAACCCCAAGGACCCTGATAGTAAGGTCAAGTTCTTGGCTGCTGAGGCTCTTCGTGGTGTTGGTGGGATCTTGCTCGATGCTGATGGTCATCGATTCTCGAATGAGCTCGGCCGTCGTGATTATGTGTCTGACAGGATGTTCCACAACAAGGGTCCCTTCCGTTTGGTATTGAACACTGCTTCGGCCAACGAAATTCGCTGGCATGTTGAGCACTACAAGGGCCGTGGTGTCATGAAGGACTTCGACAGTGCTTACGATCTCGCCAAGGAGATGGGCATTCCGGCTTCTACCTTGGAGCAGACCTTCAAGGATTACAAGGAGGTTGCCAGTAAGCAGGAGGCCAACCCCGATGGTGGCGAGTATGATGCTTATCCGACCGGCAAGACCTTCGATAAGTTCGGCAAGAAGTTCTTCACGAACTACGACTTCAAGATGGACGATCACTATAGCGTCGCCATTGTCACTCCTCTCGTTCACTACTGCATGGGTGGTCTCAAGATCGACACGGCCGGTCGCGTCATTAGCAAGGAGACGAAGAAGCCAATTCGCGGTCTCTATGCTGCCGGTGAAGTTATGGGAGGTGTCCATGGCAACAACCGTTTGGGTGGTAACTCGCTTCTCGATTGTGTTGTCTTCGGTCGCTTGACTGCTGACGATGCTTGTGAGGGTCTCCTTGGTCTCAAGAAGAGCGTCTCTCTGCCTGCTCTTGCTAAGGCACCTGCTAGCGTACCCAAGAAGGTTGCTCACGCTAAGGTTACTGCGGCTCCTGCTGCTCCTGTTGTACACGGTTACACTAAGGAGGAAGTCGCTAAGCACACCACTGAAAGTGATTGCTGGGTTATCATCAATGGCCAGGTCTTGAATGTCACGAACTTCCTTCCAGAACATCCTGGTGGAAAACTTGCCATCATGACCTTTGCAGGCAAAGATGCTAGTAAGGAGTTCAACATGATCCATCCATCTGATGTCATTGAGAAGTATGCCCCGGATTGTGTCCTCGGTCCTGTTGTTGACAAGGCTACTGCTGCTGCTACTCCTGTTGCTCCGACTGCTCCTGCTGCTGTGACGGTCACTCCGACAAATTCTGCTGCCGCTGGTAAGTCGTATACTATGGAAGAGATCTCGAAGCACAATTCCCGTGAATCCTGCTGGGTTGTGATCGACGGTGAGGTCTTGGATGTTACGGGTTTCTTGCCTGATCATCCTGGTGGAGACATCTCTATTCTCAACTATGGTGGTAAGGATGCTACTGAGCCCTTCCACGATATTCATCCTGCTGGTATCATCCAGAAGTACTGCCCTGATGCTGTCATCGGTGTCGTTGGAACCGGCTCAGCTGCTCCCTCAACTGTGTCTACGGCTCCTGCTTCTGCTGCTGCATCTGCTCCAGCTCCCGCTGTCTCTGGGTACACTAAGGAAGAAGTGGCTAAGCATACCACCGAGAGTGATTGCTGGGTCATCATTAATGGCCAGGTTTTGAACGTCACGAACTTCCTCCCTGAACACCCCGGTGGAAAACTCGCTATTATGACTTTCGCGGGTAAGGATGCTACTAAGGAGTTCAACATGATCCATCCGGCTGATGTTGTTGAGAAGTACGCCTCTGAGTGTGTTCTTGGTCCCGTTGTTGAGGCCAATTCTGCACCTGCTGTAGCAGCTACGAGTGCACCTGCTCCGGCTGCTCCTACTGTAGTGACGACCACTCCGACAACGTCTGGTGCCGCTGGCAAGTCTTACACTATGGACGAGATCTCGAAGCATAACTCTCGCGAGTCCTGCTGGGTTGTGATTGATGGTGAGGTCTTGGATGTTACGGATTTCTTGCCTGATCATCCTGGTGGAGATATCTCTATTCTCAACTTCGGTGGCAGAGATGCTACTGGGCCTTTCCACGACATTCATCCTGCTGGTATCATCCAGAAGTATTGTCCCGACGCTGTCATCGGTGTCGTTGGAACAGGCTCGGCCGCCCCCTCGACTGCTTCTACGGCTCCCGCTTCTGCTGCTGCATCTGCTCCAGCTCCTGCTGTCTCTGGGTACACTAAGGAAGAAGTGGCTAAGCATACCACCGAGAGTGATTGCTGGGTCATCATTAATGGCCAGGTCTTGAACGTCACGAACTTCCTCCCTGAGCATCCTGGTGGAAAGCTTGCCATCATGACTTTCGCCGGTAAAGATGCTACTAAGGAGTTTAACATGATCCATCCGCCTGATGTTATTGAGAAGTATGCTTCTGAATGTGTTCTCGGTCCAGTTATTGAGGGCAAGTCTGCTCCTGCTCCTGTTGCATCGACACCTGCCCCTGTTGCTTCAACCCCCGCCCCTGCTCCCGTTGCATCGAAGCCTGCTCCTGCTACAAGCACTGCCGCTTCCACACCTGCGCCTACTCCTGTGGCTCCCGTTGTTGCAACTCCTGCTGCTGTGAGCGGTATCACAATGGACGAAGTCGCCAAACATACGACTGAGGATGATTGCTGGGTTGTCATCAATGGTGAGGTATTGGATGTCACAGACTTCCTTCCCAAGCATCCTGGTGGAAAGATGGCCATTCTTACATTTGCTGGTAAGGATGCATCCAAGGAGTTCAACATGATCCATCCGGCTGGTGTGATTGAGAAGTATGCTCCCGACGCTACTTTGGGACCACTTGTTGAGAAGGCTGCCGGTCCTGCAGCTGCTGGTGGCGACTTGTCCCAGCCTCTTCTTGCTGACCAGTTTGAGTCCAAGGCTCTCACTGAACAGTGGTGGGGTGAGGATCGTAACAAGTCGGACATGTTCGGGCCACTCGGACCATCCATCAGCTCCTACGCCATCTCTCTCTGCTACCTGATTTGGATGTTCGTCATTGACACTCTCAAGACTATCTTCAGTGTCAAGAATTACAAGGTCCTGTCTGATAAGTCTGGGTTACAGCGTTCAGCTATTTTCATGATGGTCTTCGTCACTATTCATGCTCTCGGTAACATCAACCTGTTGGTTGGTGATAGGAATTTCGAGGGTTATGCTTATCTCTTGAACCATCCTTGTCCTTGGAGTACACTATTCCTCCCTGTTGAGATTTATCTCTTGCTCGCCGGAATTCTTCATGTCGTTGTGGCTACTGTCCGTACCTTCAAGTTCAAATCTATGAATTCGTCGTTCCGCGACTTGGAGATGTTCATCACTGGTTGCATTCTACTCATCTTCCTCATTGTGCATCTTATCCAGTTCCGTTTCGTTTCGGAGGCCTCGGCACCTAAGTACTGGATGCGTGATAACTGGTTCCCCTGTGCCGATGATGATACCAGTTGTCCGATCATTCACTTCAAGGATCTCTACAAAATGGCATTCCAGATCTTTGAGAGCTTCGGTTGGGTGTGCTTCTATATCGTTGGTGTTATTGCTTTCTTCATTCATATGAAGAGTGGTCTCAGTCGTGTCATCATGACGAACGACAATATCCCGAGGAAGTACAAGAGCACTACCCAGTTCTGGGGATCAGTTATGTCCTGGGTGCTTTTCCTTCTATACCTTACATATCCTCTCTTCGCCTACTTCAACCCTGTCAAGGACTGGGCTGCGTATGATGCGAAGCAGATTCGTCCACAGGCTTAGATAGACTGTTAACTCATTCTGACCGTCAGGTCGTTTATTTGTTCAACTAGTTAAAATATTGTCCATAGAATCATGTTAATGTTGTGCTGGGGTCGCTAGGTTAGTGTTGGAAAATATGCAGATGGACAACTATATTGTGGAAAATTGCCACTGGCAGGCTTTCCATATTGTCATGGACAATAAGGAAATTCCGGGGAATTTTAGAAATTGTACCATATGTTAATTAAATACAATTAATACCCATGGTACATAAAAATTGCATAAATTTTGTAATTTTTGAATATATCACAAATATACTCGGGTTTGTACACGAACTCCTACAATTAGTGAAGGAACTCTTGAACTCAGCTGAGGAGAGTGAACATATATTCCAACACTGCTAAAGGCTTATGTATTCTCTATAATTACGTAGTGTAGTGTACAGCTTTCTAAAAGCGATCGTCATCGTGATTATTGAGCTTGTGAGAGCTCAACTGAGATGTGAAGGCTTTGTCCGTTTCGATCTCAAGAGAGTCACCATTCCACGCAACATGACAAGGGTCACATATCAAATCATTCATAACATGTATATTCATACTGACTCATTTACTCTCTGGCGTTTTGAGCGCCTCGAGTTGTGCCACGAGATCATCCACCTGGGTGAAAAACCTAACTCCTCAACACCAAGTCTGTCAGCACTTGTTGCTGGAGATTTGCATTCTTCATCTTGAGTTCCTCATTCTCAGCTCGGAGCTCGTCAACATCCAGCCCCGCAGGAGTACCAAGGTATTTTTTAATGTAATCGATACCATCGATCGGTCTGACGAAACGACAAGCAGGGTATTTTCCATCTAGTCCATACCATCCGCCTGTCAAAGCCGTACAAATCAACAAGCGAGGCGTGATCATCGACATGAGCAGAGCTTAGGCTCACCTATCGGGCTCCTCATATAGGCCGACCAGAACGCGAGTGAGCTGGTTGATAACACCTGTTTTCTCCAAATACTTACGGAATTCGTCCTTCTGTGAATCAGCCGTGCCAAGACTCATATTCAATGCAAACAGTGTTACTACTAAGCCGTATGTGAACATAGCTTCAATTGACAAACTCGACGTCCAGCATACTATGATAACGCTCTCACGTAAATGGTTTCCCTCGACTTCTCAGTTGGCATCTTTTCCTGGCAGCTTCCAATCGGGCCTCACTTGCTCGTGCCATCCTTCGAGCTTGGACTTGTCTCTCATACATAGATATCGGCGCCGGGCATTCACGTGCAACATGAGGTGGGAGATATCTCTGATCGCCAACAAAAATACTCTTTCTCATGAACAACTCGTACTACCTGAGCTGCAGCGTGCAGTGAGTTCGCTCGAGCCTGTGACTCTTCTTTTCGAGGAACCTTCCTGGGTGGTACTGCCCAGCTAGGAGCGGCCTCGGGCTCCTCTCGCGGAGTTCGTCGGAATAGTTCAAGCAGTTGCGGCCAGTCGACCTGGCAAGAGCATGGTCACACTTCTCGTTTGAATCTTGATGTACATAGTTAGCGCTGAGATCCTGCAGTTGTTGATCAGAGAGTTTGCGCAACATGTCTCGGGCTCGGTCGTATTCAGCCGTGTATATCTTCCTAGCCGCAACAGGGCCACTCTGCGAAACCTCCTGAGTACCACTATCACTATCAGCTCAAAGCGACCTAAAGAACCTACTCTCGACGAGGTTACCGGACCTGCTACCGTGTCGGCCCTCGGAGCGCTACTCGTGACGGTGAGTGGACTTGGTGAGCCTCCTGCCCCCCGTGAATCCGGCGTATAGGCCATGTCCATCGACTCGGGTTCAGCTGGGATGTCGCAACTGTTGTACTTCGGATTGGGATTCAAGGAGCAGTACCTGGGGCACCAGTCTCAAGAGCGCGCACAGGAGCTTTCTTACCATCGCTGCGGTAGATGTTCGGTATTAGAGATCCTCCGCCACTTTTTGCACTCGTCGCACTGAACCCATGTGAGAATCTCCCGGGCAATAGCCGCGCTACCCTCGGGAGTGGCGAGGCTCACAGGAGGACCATCAGGACTAGGAGTCGACCGCCGTCCCGAGCGAGTTGACCGGGACTCCGACGCTGCAGACATAGGAGTTTAACTACCTGATGAATGGTGATTCCCATACAGTCCCTCAGACTAGTCTTCACCACATTTAAACACTTGAAAGCGACACCGGTGGGACGAACAACAACACATATCCATATTGGTACATCCAAAGAACCATGAATAGTAAACTGTACATGATGAAAAACGCTACGCCAAATTTCCGAGTTCAATAGCCCGGAAATCACAGAGGTAGAAGGCCAATAGAGATCGTTGGAGAGCCACCAAGACTGCTTGCAGACATAGGGGGCTCTCCTCAACACAGGAGGCTGGAGCATTCAGACAAGTCCGAATCCGCACCCGGGAGTAGCAATTTGCACACCTAAAACAATATTCATCGCCATGAGAGATTCGGACAAACTAATTAGGCGTACCGCGTTAGGTCTGTGTGTAAGCTTGGCTGTAAGGGAGACTACGAAGATCGCTACTAACTCTGGATGTTCACTCAACCACCTTGGTGAGGACACACGCGGTAGTGCTCAAACGCGCGACTAAGACTAGACAACCGATGTAGCGGTGAGCGGGACGATGCTCGAAGGAGATCGATTTGAAAGAAGGCCGCAACAGAGACCTCTTCACAGCGCCGTTCACGCCTTCGGCTGAGTCGACAGACCCGGAGCCCCACTCATCTAAGTAGTGACGACTGTTAGACATGGGGAGCAGTGGGCATTCCTCGCCACTGCATGCAACGTCTTAAGCCAGAGTAAGGACGTAAACCGCATAGACGACAACCACGGCGGTTGATACAATGGAAGAAAAGATAGCAAAGAATCTCTCGGGTCAATGGATCCACTGGGAGCACAATGGGTTGAGCTGAGCGGAGACTCGAATCGGATGCATACCGATCGAACCGGGCGTAACTGAGAGCATATCAAAACGCATAAAGGAAGCGCTGCCCGCCTGACATTGAGATCACTACGCTGATGGTAAACTCAGGACGTGACTATTGATAAAAAGGAGGAATATATGACTGCTCTCAAAGCGACATCGTCAATTCTTGAGCATCTTGCTCATCTTGAACTTACTCAGCGGCCCAATACCATCACTGAAGCGCGGTCTGCAAATCGATAGAGGATGTTCGCTTCTCACGAATGAAATACGATTCCAGAGTCAGTTTTGAAACTGGTGCTAAATAAGCAATGGTAACCAGTTCACAATGCATATCATTCAGGAGAATACTTGGCGAACAGCGTCGCTGTGCCGCGGGTTGAGTAAGGCGTCCCGGCTGAGGAAACTAATTCCGCGGATAAGGACATCATTTTCCGGATATCGATTCTATCACATTCGAATTTGTAGGGATAGTGGGGGAATCTTTTGCATGGTATACCCTCGGGCATGAAGGCCCCGTTCGCTTTATATCCATCCGAATGGTATACAGTAGTGGTCAGGCATAGCGGCCCCATCCGCGAGATATCTTTCGGAATGACATAGTCCATGGGCATAGCGGCCCCATTCGCGAGATATCCTTCGGAATGACATAGTCCATGGGCATAGCGGCCCCATTCGCGAGATATCCTTCGGAATGACATAGTCCACGGGAATAGCGGCCCCATTTTACACATATCCTTCCGAATGGTGTAGTCTTCGGACATAGCGGCCCCGTTCGTCAAATAGTATTCTGCATGGTATCTTCCTCAGGCATAGCGACCCCATTCACCGAATAGAATATCCCCTTGAGATCTACAACTTGCCTTAGATAGAGTTTCCTCCGTCCCTCTCTCTCCTTTTCATTACCCTTTACCTAGTGTAGTTTCCTACCAATATGGACCAGCCGGCACCACAAGTCGACCCTCCAGCAGACAGCTTGCCTATCGACCTACCGCTGGCCTTCAATGCCCACACCGAGTACGTGGAGGAGGAGGAGGAGACTGCTGGGACACTCTATTTGGACTATGGAGGGGATAGAATCGTACATGTGCCCAAAGGCAAGACAGGCTTCTTTCTTGTCACATTGGGTGAGAGTAATGATGGGCCGAGGTTTGTGACTATCCCAGAGGGAGCGCCGCTCGCTGAGCATGTTCCGGTGAGGGTATCCCCCTGTGGTAATTTCTTCGCTTATGCTACTGCGGGTCCGATTCCACAGCTGTTGATCGCAAGAATGGGCGCTCCCTCAGTGCGAGTCATTGAGATACCACTGGCCCCTGGTGTTAGAATTGACACCATTGTCGATGTCCTTTGGGTACGGCATGAAGAGGCTCACAGTTCAGCGTTGCAATCCGGAACTGCCTTGCCTATCGTATTGGACTCTTATATGCTGGTTGTGGTCTCTCATCATTCTCTAGATGTCCTTCGGCTCTCCTCGGCCCTCAAATTCGCCAAGCCACTCCGACGATTTCCTCTCTCTGGCAGCAGTAGCCGCTCCAACAACGATTCTAGGGCTCAAACGCCGGCCACAGTTCGTCACGTTTGGTATGAGCCTGATAGTGGTATTTGCGTGCTTTGCATCAACCAGAGGACTCTGCAACCGTTTGATCTCAAGCCACGTCTGAGAAACCCACAGCTGCCATCGGTCTCCCCGAAGTCAACTAAAGCCACCATCGCTGTCAAGATGCCCAAATTCGATCTCTATCCCGCAGACGTGCACAACCCCAGTGATTGCGTAGATGAGGTATCCCTCCTTCGTATTGACTCAGTTGCAAGCACGACTTCTCGTAAGCTTGTTGCTGGTACGTACATCTGCCACGTTGATAGTGCGGCTGGCCGACTCTCATTGCGGAATCTGTCTGTGAGTGGTTTGGCCAGTCCCGAGCACGACGCGGTTATTCAGCTCCCGGCCCTATCCAGATCAACAGGACGAGGATTGCCACAATTAGCGGTGCATGTTGTCGATGGTCTAATATGCGTCTCCCGATCTCCTGGAACCTCCGAGGCTGTATCACCAACGTGGTACATCTACGATATCTATATACGAGGTTCGGGCCGCTCTCTGCCCCTAGTGCCGCCATTCCGGTTGGATTACCCTGGCGCAATGCGTTCGCCAGACATCCTGCGATCATCACAAAACAAGTACGTCATACTGGCTGACGATAAACGTACTATGGTCTATGGCTTAGAGCTCCAAACTAGCCCATTCGTCGCTGATTTGATGAGCTCAGCGTCATTGTCTATGTTGGAAATCGCCACAGTGTTGTTGAGACGTCAAGGATGCCGCGACGAACTGTGTCAGACACTAAGGTACTTCCTGAGTGATAGAGACCCATCTCCAACTCTGGAGGAGCTTGCATATATTTTCGATGCCACGAATGCATCCTATCGAGAATGCATAGAGCGAACCCCTCTCCTCGGTGGCGAGAGCGGCGCTATGGTCAGCTTGGCTCGGCTACTCGAGTCCGCTGGCAGCCGCACTATACTCACTGAAGTAGATGCGGTCGATTGTATTTTCCATCCGGTTTTATGTTCGATCCTGCCAGATTGTCCTCGGCCTCCTCTGACTGCGGGTTCAACTGAACTCCTTCGCTATGGCCTGGAGTGTACTCCTGAGTCATCGTGTTTACAGAAACTGCGCAAACTGTTGTCACAAGTTTTGATATTCTGCCGCTCATTGTTGGCCTTGTCGGTGTATCCGCATAGACGGGTACAACTCTTCCTTTTCGATCTCTGCGTTGTGGCGCGTCAGCAGCATTGGTTGCAACAACTCCTGCACTACCACGTTCTCCTGGACTCTGCGGAGATCGTGGAGCGTCTGGACTTCATGTGGAGGTATGATATTGGTCAGAGTGATACGCGGAGTATCAGTTGGAGTCAACAGTGCATGATGGATATGGCCTGGAGATTGCTCAGCACACGGTCAGCTAGTCCGAAGCTGATTGAGCTCCTCACTGAGGCGCTGTTGGATGGCGGGGACCCAGTAGACGTTGTGGCGTTTTTGAGGCAGCAGACAGAACTAGGAGGATCCAACGTTCCCTTGATTGGGATATTAGAGAGGGCGGAAGAGCTTGTCGAGGAAGGGAAGGTAGTACTGTGTTTTATAGGCGCGTGATGATGGCCTGTTGCTGGTCGTTGAAGCTACATGTTTGCGAGCCTAGTCGTGCTTGGCGAACTCTTCTATACCCTGTGGTTGTCATCTAGTATATGGGAGACTCATGTGTCTAGTCCGCGTATAGGTCGTCGAATCGCTGATTCGCCCGGACTTGCGCCGCTTGTTGGTGATGGCGACCGATCTCCGTTCATTCCATCTCAGTACGATCCCCGTTTGGTCAAGTATCTGGTCGAGGATATCCGTCAGTGGCGGACAGATGCTCTCCTCGCTACCCGCATGTCCCGTTTGCGTTTACAAACAACTTCTACCGCTCCAAGCCCTACCTCAGTTCTGGTAAGTCTCGCATTCTAGGTTAGCCCTTGGCAGTGTACACATGCGCCCAGAATTCAGATGGAATTTCGGTCATTATCATTCACTGCTCCCCCCCCCACTTTCATCGGAGGCAGTTTTTTGACTTTTGCGAGCGAGAATCAACTTTGATTAGGGATGGAGTTGTAACGTTACTTACAGTATTACATTCTGTATGAATATCTGGCACAGCTCAGCCAAGAAGCAACTAGAGTCTATTTGTTAGAGCACAACTGGGATATGAAGTCGTGCACTGGCGATTGTTGAATTAGAAGAGTCGTCTGTACTGCCACGGCTAGGACTCATCGGATCAACTGTCTCAGGCCTCTCTGATGCCCAACGATGGTGGATGTGAGAAGTGGCTGCCAGAACTGCGCGAAGAGGAACCACTCAGTTCGGATAGTGTCTGAATTCGGATTGCTAGTTTGCTCGTTTGCATCGTATCATTTGTGGCTATTCCTGAAACATTTGTGTGATTTTTGCACAGTTTCCATCTGAAAACCTGTCACTTGAAGTGTTTCGTTGAAGGAGTGATTTTTGTATGCCCTCAAATAGAACTCAGTCGAAGCAACTCGTAATCATCCACTTGTATCCGATAGTCTGCACACCCTGTATCGAACACTCGCAGAACCGAATTCTCCCTTTTGGGAGATCCAATTAGGGATAGTTGAAAG